CAGAAGAGAAACTAGATAACTGGGAGCTCCTAAAAATCAAACACTTATGCTCATCAAAAGACTTCACCAAAAGAGTAAAAAGACAACCTACAGATTGGGAAAAAAATTTTGGCTATGACAAATTTGATCAGCGTCTAATCTCTAAAATCTAGAAGATACTGCAAAACCTCAACAACTAAAAAACAAATAATCCAGTTAAAAAATGGGCAAAGGATATGAACAGGCAACCCCTCTGGCTGATTAAGTCAATACTTATCAGCCTGTCAGAGTTCCCCTTTCCTTTAGAGTTCTCAAGAAAACACTTCAAAGAATAAGCAATAGGGAGCATTTTTGAGCACATTAGGTCTGTACCTAAGTGCTTTATATAGTATTACACTTAACTCCCAACAACCCTGTAAGTTTTAACAATTTCATTTTACAGATGAAACTAAGTTCCCAGATGTTCAGTAACTTGCTGAGAGCATACTGCTAATAAAAGTGACAGAGTGATCCCAGAAGGCTGAATGTCATAAATCGACCTCCCTGAATGAAGGCAAAAGGGTGGGCAAAACAGCACGGTATACATGATTACCAGAAAAAAGAAATTGGACAAATTAATGAAAAATTGGGAAAACACAAGTGAGAGTATTTTTTAAATTAATTTTAAACTATCTCACTCCAATTTACAAAAGAAAAAAGATATATGTGATCATCACAATCGAGAAAACAGTGCACAAAATAGGGAAACATGCCCCTTTTGGAAGAACTCCAATTTAGAAAAAGGAAGCATATCAGTAACCTACCGCAAACACTAATTATGAAATGTACTCCTCTTGTGCCCCTTTTCTCTTCTTCCCTCAAATCTTCATGACAATAGATAGCCCTTATTATTTTTTCTTCAACAAATCTTTTGACTTCACTTCAAGGTCTTCATTTTAAGTGCCATTACCTAAGTCATACTCTTTTCTCACCTCAAAGCTAAATTACCAAATAGGTCACCTGAACTCGTCTCTTTGATCCATGTCTTTGAATCTACCCTGAACATCACTACCATTGTAATACTCCTAAATCTCTTTGGTGTCCCTAAAAAAGATGGAATTGGGTTCTAGAAAAAAAGGTCCTTCTAGCTCTAAAGGTCTAAAGCATTATGTTCATCATGTTACCATCCTATAATAATAGTCCCCTATTGCCAATATCAAGTTTAAAATCCTGTGCCTTTATAATTATGTTGCTACTTGTGGTGGGAGGTCCCAAGACCACCCTCAGGTTCAATGGTTCACTAGGAGGACTCACAGGACTCAACATATAGTTGTGTTCATGGTTGTGATTTATTACAGTGAAAGGATAAAAAGTGAAATAACAAAACCAGTTGCTGTCAGGTCAATTCTGACTCATGAAAACCCCATGTGGGTCAGAGTACAACTGTGCTCCATAGGGTTTTCAATGGTTAATTTTCTGGAAGTAGATCACCAGATCTTTCTTCTGAGGTGCCTCTGAATGGACCCAAACTGCCGATCTTTCGTTTAGCAGCCAAGTACATTAACCATTTGCACCACCCAGACACTAAAATCAGCAAAGGAAAAAAGGCACATGGAGTGAAGTCTGGAGGAAACCAGTGCAAACTTCGAAGGATCCTTTCCCAGTGGAGTCACAAAGGATGTATTTAATTCCCACAGCAACAAATTGTAACAACACACGTGAAATGCTGTCTACCAGGAAGCTTATTGGAGACTTAATGCCCAGGGTTCTTACAGGGGGTTGGTCATGTAGGCAGCCTCTGCCTAGCGTTTACCAAAATTCCAGACTCCTACAAGGAAAGTAGGTATTCAGCATACACTACATTGTTTAGGCACCGTGAGCCAATCATATCAGAGAATGGTGGGAATCGTTCCCAAATGCCAGCCAACCTTGCAAACAGGCCTTCCTAACATCTCAGACCTACGTTAACTCATTTCTTCACACTATTTCCATATTTACTCTTGTGCTCAGGTTCTTCGACCTTAGCTAGAATTCTATTACTTTTTCTTTCCATCTATGTAAGTCTTTCTAATCCTTGAGGATCTTCTTTCCTTCCATAACATTTTTCTATATCCTTCAGCCTATGCTTCTCTCCCGTCTCTGAACTCCTGTTTCAATTTATGTTGTACCATTTAAGCTTTGTTCATTCTAGAGCACAAGCTTCCTGTGTGTTAGAACTATACAGAAGAAATACATAGGTGATTTCTCTTAACATACTACAGTGCCTAGCCAGTGTTGAATACAACACAGCTTTCAAAAACTGACGACTGAGTATAAAACAAAATCTGCTTCAAAGATACACATTTATTTTGGGAATGTTCTCTAATGTTGGGGTGGGGGTGGAGGGACTGTAGAACTCAATCAGATATATTTGAGAGAATAAGCTTCAATTCTCTATTGTGAACCTATAAAGAATTCAAGATATTACCTACATTACTTTTCAAGTACAGTTCTAGATATAAGCAAATTCTGAAAACATGATTTTAATAAAAAACCCTACAATCTCTGGACATTAGTATTTTAGGATTTCAAAACCTAGTACTCATTCAGCAAATATACCAAGTATAGATCTTCCCAACAGGTACTAGGATATTTACTGTGTTGCTGTTTCAAATCAAGACCTCCAATAGGAAATTAGTTAAATGAGCTATAATATACTCATACAATTAGGATACTATTCACTGATATAAAATATAGAAACGTATGCACTGATTCAACAAATAGTATTTGTTTGCAATACACTGCTTTTTTTAAATCATAATACAATTTAGATACCTTATTTTATGTAAAAACTACTAATATATGGAAAAATAGTGGAAACATACTATCAAAATGTTAACAACGGTTATATCTCTGTGAGAAGAGGGTGACTTCTTGTTTTCTTTTTGCTTATTTTTAAATTTTTCCTCAATGAACATATATTACATTTGCAATGCTAGTAAGTTATATAGGGTCGCTATGAGTTGGAATCAACTCAACCGCAACAGGTATGGGTAATATCATATATGGTAAAAACCCATTACAGAGTTCTGTATTACATGGATTTGCATATACCATCAATCGATGCATGTCCCTTGAGATGTAATACTTAATGAGAATTATGTAACACAGCCTTTTAAATACTAGGTCTATTTCTTTATATGAACATTAATAAAGGAGTTGTTATTTACTACATGGCTCCAACATTTAAACAGGCAGTGAAAGGCAGCAGACTTAAGAGTAGGGTTTTAGTTCTCATTATACGATTAACTGACAGAGGATCTTGAACAAGATAATTTAACTTCATAGAGCAACTCCATAAAAGAAAGGATTTCAATGATAATCTCTAGGGCTGCTGTCTTTTAGCTATCAAGCTGCCCACAATAATTTAATGCTTCAAATAATTTTACTTTCAGTAGACAATCACAATTTTGATATTTGTGCATCACTGGTGATTACAAGCTTAACAGCAGCAAGAAACCTACACCCAACTCCATGATTCTCTAGGAAAAGAATACCTACTCTTAACTTAGGACATGCTCTTACCTTAGCAAAAAGGTGATCCCTATATTGCTGTTGAGTAACAAATTTTTTATAACATACTACACAAGCAAACGAATTGGTGAAAGGTCCATGTAGTGTAATTGTTGGATCACACGGAGAGTGATCAAACCTACTTGGCAAAAAAGAAGTAACATTACAAAAGCCCACATTCCAGGGGCAGAACTATGTTGCTTTGTTTGTTAGGTTAAACATACACACACACACATTCAGAAATTCACACTTCTCTACTGAAATAATGTTCTTCCTATTCAAGAAATATCAAGTGGCTCCCACATGCCAGGCAATCATTTTAATAACAATCTTATGTTAAGACTTCAGGGACACTTCTATATCTATAAACAGTTTTTAATGTTTATTTTAATCATTTAACTAATTTCTGTCATTTCAAACTGCCTTGAAAACTTTAAGTAGTTAAGATAACAGTATACTACTCAATTATTTATACAATGCTGCAGCTCCCTCTAGAGGCCTCTCTCAGTAAGGTAAGGCATATGAAGTTACTGCCGCTACTTGCCATTTGTGTCAGAGTAGAACTGTGTTCTATATGGGTTTCAATGGCCGATTTTTCAGTAGATAGCCAGGACTTTCTTCTGAGACACCTCTGGGTGGACTCAAACCTCCAACCTTTTGGTTTGCACCAGCCAAGGAACCGAGGCATTTAGAAAAGACTTAAGGCTTACAGTCCCAAACTTCTCAATTTCCCATCTCTGAACTACTAGAATCAAACTGGGGTGACTGCAGAGGATATGGTTTAATGCTTTTAATTCTACCCTCTCTTCGTATCTGCTTTCTTAACCTCTACTATTCAAAAATTCAGTAAATGATAAAATCGGTTTGATAATAGAATACTTCTTTTTTGTTAATTTTGCTACATTTGTTCTGTTTTTGGCATTTATTTACTAATGCCATGTTAGCTTTTTTAGGCTGACCAAATATCTTTAAGTGTTCCGTGTCTCTTGAAATTTGCATTTACGAGTTGGATTTTTCTAAAACTGATACAACTACGTATCATTGTAAGAACTCTGTTCAAAATTTTACGAAGACATATTAGGAAGAAATACATTTAATGACCACATACATAAAGAAGACAGAATGTCACTGGAAAAATCTGACTTCACCAAGCCTTTTAGGAAACCTAAGAAATATAAGTTGGAAATAATTATATCATAATAGCACAAAACAATTTGGATTTGGAATATAAAGTTATAATCACAATCATGCTTTCATTTTACAAAATCACTTTGTCACTCATTTGCTCTTTAGCATCCAGTATTCTGAATCTCATACTTACCTTTTCAAATGTCCTAAGAGAAGGTGCCCATTGTCAAACTCCTTGTTGCAATGCATTATGGGACATGAAATTGGTTTCCCAGACACTCGCATTTGGCCTCCTCTTCGGAATGAACTTTTGGTTCCAGAATTAATTGTGCCTGTTTTGAGTCCTGCATCAGAGTATAAATTCTTAAGCTCCTACTTCACATACTTGTCCTTTGGACTGGTAATCAAAACAATGAATATTATGATATAGCATCAACCAGTTGGTCCTAACTGTAATTAAGTGTTTACAACCTCTCTTATAAAGGATATAACCCCAAAGTAAATAATCTGGGACACGTAAAGCTGTTAACATCTCCAAGTATCCTTCTCTAGGAGGAAAAAAAAAAACAACAGATCTATTTCCTTAAGTTTGACAGTCAGAATATCAATCAAATGCATTGGAAAATAAGTTGCTCTACAAAAGCCCCAACTCCCTTCTTTTCATTTATATAAGTTGGCAATAATCTCTTCTTTTAACTATCTTAAACACATTAAAAGGTTTAGCTATATTATAGAGGATCTGGGTTCTGTGAAAATTCTGTTAAACCATGTAACTAGGGGTTGGGGTGAGGGGAGTGGAGAGGGCAAAGAGAAAAAAGAAGGTAAGAGTGGTATTTTCTGAGGAATCTAACCATTGATCAATCAGTTCCAACCTGGACATCAAGTAACACAAGTATCAGTAATAAATTTATAGAACACAAAGCAGAGATTTACTTACTACTGTTAGTCAACTCTCCCCTTTCTATTTATCCTATTTTGTTCTTTCTCTTTTTTCCTTTTCAAAGCCAGTTGGAAAACACTTTGCTCACCATTGCCTTCTCTTAATCACCTATCCTGGTCCATTCTTCATCCTTTTCTTTCTTTATAATCTTAGTCAGTCACATAACTTTTTTTTTCTTTTTTAACTGTGGTGAAAGCATACTTAACAAAACATACAAACATATATCATCTCAACAATTTCTTCAGGTACAATTTGGTGACACTGATTACGTTCTTCAAGTTGTGCAAATATTCTATCCTTTTCCAAATCATTCCACCACCACCCGTGACCTCCTAATTCAATGCCTCCTAAGCAAAATCTCACCCTTTCTGCCTCCCTCCCATCCATAGTAACCACTAATAATAATCTTTGGTTTCTACATATTTGTTTATTTCATATAAGTGGGATCATATAATATTTGTCCTTTTCAGACTGACTGACTTCACTCAGCAAGATGTTTTCAAGGTTCATCCATGTAGCATGCATCAAGACTTCATTTCTCTTTATGGTCAAGTAGTATTCCATGTGTGCATATCACAGAACTCTTAGAGACGAACTGCCCTCGCCAAATTTTGTTTCCAAGGAAACTCCCAACATACGAAACATAATGGAAAATTTAGAGAGTTATATTGTAGAAACAAAGAACTGTAAAACAGCCAGGAGGTTTTTTTTTTTTTTTTTTTTTTTTTTTTTACAACTGCATTATCAAAACTAAACCTAAATTCAAGGGCTATTTATCAAGGGTGGAGCCACTGTTCTTCAAGACGTGGGCTTTCCTTTACTGTATGACTTTCTCGCCAGCTGTTACAAGTTATCTGAGAACACATCTTCAATTCTTGTCCCCTGCAGTGTGGAGAGTTGAGACTGAGCTTCGGTAATGGCCAGAAGGGTGGACAGTGAGCCCCATGGGTTGATCGAGGGAGCCAAGATGGCAGTTCCTCACAAAATTTTAGTAAAGAGAAAGATCGTGTTTGATTGAATCCTATCAACGCGATTGATAAGGTCACTGAATACGGCTTTAAAACTGGCAGAAGTTTTGTCATCATTGTAGACAGTTGCTTGTAATGGACAGTTATCATGCACTTTACTGCCTAGATGTCTTCACCCAAGTCTTCAGGCCAACTTTCTTCCAAGACCTCAGCCTTACATTTGACTGATTTGATTTTGTAGACACCTTCAACAGTAGCCTCAGCCTCAACCTTCTCACCAGGGTCAACAATCTCAATTGACGTCCCATGGCTGAGCTTGACGGGTGAGTTTCTAGGTGTGAGTAGTGTGGTTTTTGCCAGCATTTCACTGACTCCGGTGGCTTCAATTAAAACATCACCTGGTGCTACAACGTCAAGACTGTCAAGAGTGCTTGCTTACTGCTCTTACATAGTATCTACAGTACGGGTTCCTGCCAGGAGGATTTTGATATACAGATAGTTTTATCTGTCTTTTATTACTCTCTTGTGGGTATTTATCTTTATGGCAGTTTCTACAAAGCCTCTAACCATTTAACTAGAATAGAATATTACTCCCTTAACATAATCTAGTTTTTAAATTCCCAAATGCAAGGTTGCCTCAATTAAAATGCCAAACTGCTTATAAATAAAATGTGTTCTGATAACAAAGAATGAACAGCATAGCCTTAAGCATATTTCAGTCTTAAGGCATTACATGGCAATAGACTTTTTTATCATTAATTTTTTTTTAACACAGCCAGAATTATTGCAGTTTCTATTTACTGTCCAGCCATATTCCAGATGTTTCCTATTAGGACCCGTGTTTAGACAAAAATAGTGCCTCTGGATAAAAAGAAAGTTGAAGAAAATGATCAACTGAAAGCAAGTACTGTCTTTCCTACAGAGAGATAAAAAAAAAAAAAATTAAAAAAAGAAAAAAGTAGCATAGACAGCACTGTTTTTTATTACTAATTATTCCATCTTATGCAAACTGGACCAACTATAAAGCTCCATAAAGAGCAGTCCAAAAATAGAGTAATTATAAATAAAATACTTGAAATCAAACAACTAAATTATAATAAATGAGTGCTTTGGAATAGATTGGATAGAGACCCTTAATGCTACTGAGAAATAGAATCTCACTTTTTATAATTAAAGAAAACAACAAATTCATCTCTATTTTCCCCAGCTACATCCTTTTCAAACATCTCAGCACTCTCTAAAGTCCATTTATAGAATACCACTGTTGGACCAAATACAGCCCAATGCTAAAGCAACCGTTCTAACAGATCCTAAACTTCATTTTTCATTGTTTGTAGGTACCAAGCAAAAAGCTGAACTCATTACAAAAAAAGAATGTAACTACCAACATTAACTCAAGGCTCATGCTTATCAGCCATCAATGACCCAAGTGTAACCTGAAGGCATATAAAATGCCAAGTCTTTCAAGTATCATAAAGACCACAGTTAATGACTCATTTGTTCCCACTTGGCCTGCCCAAGGAAATATATAAACAGACGCCCATGAATTTGATTTCCAATATATTCTGACAATTTAAGAGATCAGGGATTAGGCCTAAATGGGCATATTACTGGCCCAAGAACCATTAAATGTGGGACTTGAAAGTGTGAGACTCATATGAGATACAGGATTTTTAGAAGAGACCTTAGAGATGATAAAGCTCATAGGTTTAGCCCATTCGCCCATCAAAATCACCTAGGGATCTTCCAAAAACTAAAGATGCCCTAGGAGAATCTCTGAAGGTGAGGCCCAGACATCTGTTTAAAAAGCTCCCAGGTGATTCTTTTTTTATTTTTAAAATACTGTGGTGAAACTATACACAACAAACCTTCACCAATTCAACAATTTCCACATGTGCAATTCAGTAACATTGACTACATTTTTCATGTTGTGTATAATCTTTATTGCTGTCCTTTTCCAAAATTTTCCACTGCCATTAACATAAAGTAAATGCCCCCTAAGCAAAACTCCATTTTCCACTTCCCTCCCACCCCTGGTAACAACCAGTAATCTTTGGTTTCTATATATTTGCTTATTTCATGTAAGTGAGATCATACAGTATTTGTCCTTTTGCAACTGACTTTTTTCACTCAGCGTGATGATCTTTTCTAGGTTCACACATGTTGGGGCATGATCAAGACTTCATTTGTCTTTATGGCTGAGTAATACTCCACTGTATGTATATACCACATTTTGTTTATCCATTCATCTGTTCATGGACATTTAGGTTGTTTCCACCTTTTGGTTCTTTGGTTCTAGTGAAAAATGCTGCAGTCTACATTGGTGTAAAGGTTTCTGTTTGCTTTCCTTCTTTCACTTCTTCTGGGTATATATTTAGAGTTGGGATTGCTGGATCATATAGCGGTTCTATGTTCAATTTTTTGAGGAACCACGAAAATGTTCTCTATAGCGGCTATACCATTTTACATTTCCACCAGCAATGAATGAGGGTTCCAGTTTCTCCACAACCTCGACAACACCTATTGCTTTCCACCCTCCGCCCCGATCCTTTGATCATGGCCATTCCAATGGGTGCGAGGTGGTATTTCATTATGGTTTTGATTTGTATCTTCCTAATGACTAATGATGTAGAGCATCTTTTCATGTGCTTGTTGGCTATTTGAATATCCTCTTTGGTGAAATATCTTTTCAAGTCCCCCGCCCATTTTTTGATTGGGTTGTTAGTGAAAAGCTGCCAGGTGATTCTGATTCAGCTAAGGTGAAACCACTGAGCTAGTCATTAACTTCTTCCACTGAGAACTGAACGTATATCAAGAGGAATTTTTTTAAATTGTAAGCTTTAAGAGAATATGGCAAGAGCAAAACCATTTACCATAATTCCTAAGTATCTTTTGCTGAAGTAGATCTGGAATGCCAGGTGCTTTTGTTCATCTGAATGACAGCCAGATTTGGAATTCAAGTTCTAGGCTTCCTTTCTACATTCAATATGCAAATATTAATACACCACCTCAGCATAATACTCAACAAACATTTACTGAGTATTTCTATGCCCGACATTCTTTTTAGGCACTGATACTAAAAGAGGATTGATAAGACTTGGTCCTTGTACCCAAGGAGAATATGGTCTGGTAGAAGAGACAGACATGTAAACACATCAATCCAACTTAATAAATACTGAATTAGAGAAATGAATAAAGATCTATGGAATCAAAAAAGGCTTATCAACCAAACTTAAGCAGAATAAATAAACACAGATTGGGTTATCTTATAACTGAACATGATATACAATGACCATATTAACTCAGCAACCTCTAGTACTGAGTATCATCTGTGGGACCAAGTATTAGTCCCACAGGCACGTAAAAAAAAACAAAAACACACATTTAAAAAAGGGTGTAGTGGGAGTTTGCCTGGCACAAGCAGATTGAGAGGTAAGAAGGGAATATATTTTAAAGGACAAGCCAAGCGCCAAAAAAACTGTTGCATCAGGTATCAAAAATGGGATGAACTGCTAAATACCAATAAATTATTACAGTTCTTTTATAAGTGGTAATTTATTTCTATTCAAAGAAAACCTCTGTGAAACTAACTTTAGAACTACAAGATATCTAGGTTCAATAAGGATTGTAATTAAATCCACTGTTGGATTAGAAAATCTAAATCCACAGCAAAGGTTTTTTTGGATATCCCAAGCCTTTAACAGCTCAGTGGAAGTGGATCTTCCACAAGATAAGCTAGAAAAGTTGCCATGCTGAGACCCTCCTACTGGCTCTTAAAAATTCCACCAAATGAGCTGGTTGGGGAGAAATGTTCCACAGTGACTCTTTCAGGAAATCTCAGGTCCTGGAGTTAACAGTGAAGAAGCCTCTCATGTGGACACGTCCTTACAAAATACCCACATGGGCTGCACTGAGAAATAAATAAGTAAACACTAATCCTTTAGATGTCAGTTTAAATTCCATTTCCGTGCAGAAGCCTTTCCTGACCTCAAATAACCTGTTATACACAGTCTGACAGTCCCAAGAACTACACACTTCATTTTAAATCGCATGTATCACAGCTACATTCTACATTTATTTGTGCAATTAATATCTCCTACCACAACTATATTGTAACCTCCCTGAGGACAGAAACTGTGTCAACTTTGCATACTATTATATACCCAGCACTAGCAAAGCAATTGGTATATAAGTATATAAGTACATAAGTATATAATAACTAATAAATACATGAACAAATAAATGAGCAATATCTAATGAGCTCAGGGATGACATATTGCTTATACTCAAAATGTACATTTGCCAAAGTAGAAAGCAATTGATAGTAGACCATTATGAAGTATCATTAAAACTAAGTTTCAATACCTTCTATGCTTATTACTAGCAACTAAATAAAACAGATTTATTTTCACCTTAAGGTTTTACGGAAGCTCAGAAACTTTAGTATTCTACTCTAATCTCTAAAGAATACCTGGCATTTTTAGCCACTGGTCCACACACAGTCTTGCTGCTTCTGTATCAGAATGTCCTCGAATAAATTCCAATTCTTGTAACCCATGAGCGTGCTGAAAATCAATTTTTTCCTAAAGATATTTAAAAAAAAAAAAAGCTATTAACCTGTGATTACTTTCCTGGTTTCTTTCAGAGAAAGACTTTGACACGTCAGTGATCAGATAATACTGACTACTCTTTATCCCTCGAACTCCACATTAAAAAAACTATCTCAAAGAATTAAGTCAAAATAAAGATTCATGCTCTAAGATGTTGATCCCAATGTTACCTATATTAGCACAAAGTTCACTCCAACAAGAGGCTATTGTTTAAGTAAATCATGGTACACATATTTGATGAAAGTCATTAGAAACGCTAACCAAGATTTTTCAATGATGTGGGAATGTACTTTTAATATCAAGGCAACCAAATTGTATAAAACAAATGAGGCCAAATATAAGCAAAGAATAATTTCAATCTACATAAAAATATATCTGCAGAGGGAAAAAACAGACTAAAAACAAATACATTAAATGTTAATAATGTCTATCTCTGGGAATAGAATTGTGAATAGTTATTTTCATTTTAAACTTTTATACATTTTTTCAAATTTTCCATGTATATAGTCTGGAAAGACTAACAAATATTTGTTCAGTGAATAATATTAATAACAACAGATACACATGAAACATTTAAATAAGTGCTAGACACTCTACAAAGCAGATGGCAAACTTTTTCTGTAAAGGGCCAGATAGTAAATATTTTAGGCCTTTCAGGCCACATGGTCTCTATCTCAACTACTCAGCTCTGCCACTGTAGTTTGAAAGCTGCTACAGACAATATGTAAATAAACAGGTATAACTGTGTCCCAATAAAACTTTATAAAAACAGACAGCAGGCTAGATTTAGCTCACAGGCCATAGGCTGCCAATGCATGAACTTTATCCTTTTAGATTTTGCTGAAAGTCTCTACTCTTTCTAATTATACTATCTATAAATCTATTTGCACACTCTCTAATCAGGATGAATATAAAAACATTTACTGACTGCTTATCATGTGTCAGACACTGTTCTAAAAGTACTTTACATTGATTCTCACAATAACTCTAAGGAAGGTACTACTATTGTTCCCATTTTACAACGGAAAAACTGAGGTACAGAAAGGTCAAGTAAATTGCTCAAGGATATATAACAATGACAGGATTCACACTCTGGCAATTTGGCCACTATACCATGTTTTTGTTCTTGTGTGCCCTCGAGTCGATTCCAACTCACAGCAACCCTACAGGACAAAGTAAAACTGCCCCATAGAGTTTCCTGTAATCTTTATGGAAGCAGATCGCCAGGTCTTTTCTCCCTCGGAGCAGCTGGTGGGTTCAAACTACCAACCTTTCGGTTAACAGCTGAGTGCTTAACCATTGTGCCACCAGGGCTCCTTCATTATACAATACTGCGTCTCAAAAATATTTATATGTACATAAGAAGAAATCACAAAGTTACAAACACTGGATTTCAAGATACAGGACAGAATAATGCATGGACTAGTTAACAATAAGAAAGAAAAAATTCTCACAACTGGGCCAATAAGCAACATCATGATAAACAGAGAAAGACTGAAGTTGCCAAGGATTTCATTTCACTTGGATCCACAATCAATGCCCATGGAAGCAACAGTCAAGAAATCAAATGAAGTATTGCACTGGGCAAACGTGCTGCAAAAGATCTCCTTAAAGTGTTAAAAAGCAAAGATGTCACTTTAAGGACTAAAGTGCACCTGATCCAAGCAATGGTGTTTTCAGTTGCCTCATATGCATGCGAAAGCTGGGCAATGAATAAGGAAGACTGAAGACGAATTGATGCCTTTGAATTAGGGTGTTGGTGAAGATTATTGAATATACCACAGACTGCCAGAAGAATGAACAGATCTGTCTTGAAAGTAGTACACCCAGAATGCTCCTTAGGGCATGTTGGCTAAAATAATCTCAAAATTAGTCACTTTTTTCCTCTGTCACAAAGCTACTTCCATAAACTTTAGGGTTAGAACCCTTCTTGTAAGTTATCTTAACTCATGGAATATCAACATGTAACACTGGTAGCTGGTCAACTGGCCAGCACAGTACATGATTTCTGAAAATGAAGTATCCAGTCAAGATTTTAGTGAGTCTTCTTTTTTAAAATGTCTCAAAACAGACACAATACAATTTAATAATGAAGACACCAGGAATTCACAAAGTTAAGACGTAGAAGAGTTGGAAGACATTCTCTACAATATCTATTTTGAGCCAGAGTTAGCATCCATTATAATCCTTGAAGAATTATTTCTTGAATTTCATTATCTTCTTTTCTGCCTTTTTTTGACATCTAGTTTTAAAAAACAAGTTATCCACAAAGGGAACTGTTATGGATTGAATTATGTCCCCCAAAAATGTGTGTCAACTTAGCTAGGCCATGATTCCCAGTATTGTGTGGTTGACCATCATTTTGTGATCTGATGTGATTATCCTATGTGTTGTAAATCCTAACCTCTATGATGTTAATGGGGCAGGATTAGAGGCAGTTATGTTAATGAGGCAGGACACAATCTACAGGATTAGGTTATATCTTAAGTCTATCTCTTTCGGGATATAAAAGAGAGAATCAAGCAAAGAGGAGGGGGATCTCATGCCATCAAGAAAGAAGCCCCAGGAGGAAAGCATGTCCTTTGGACCCAGGGTCCCTGCACTGAGAAGCTCCTACACTAGGGGAAGATTGATGACAAGGACCTTCTCCCAGAACCAACAGAGAGAGAAAGCCTTCACGGGAAGCTGGCACCCTGAATTCAGACTTCTAGCTTCCAAGACTGTGAGAGAATAAATTTGTTTGTTAAAGTCATCCACTTGTGGTATTTCTGTTATAGTAGCACTAGATAACTAAGACAGGAATCAAATAAGAAAAAAACTAAAAATCACAGGTGGACAGCAAGCGAGGGTTAAAGCATGTGTATCAGTCAGTTTCTCCCTTAGAACAGAATGTAATCTAGACAAATGTATTATTTACAATTGGTAAAATAAGAAATGAAAATTTTCAAAATTTCAAAAAAAAAATTCCTCCACATCAAGGTAAAGTCTTTAATACAAAGAATGAACATGTACATAGGTGGAGCCTGAAACTACTATTGAGAAAAACTCTAATTCATAGTGACTATTAAGAGTCTGAGCTACATTACAAAAGCTTTGGTTTCTATTTGATCGGTTTGTTAATGTCTGAGAAAAGCAGCTAATATTGTCAGGAAATCTGGGAAAAGGAGGACAACTTGCAAACGTCTCTCCTCTCAGAGATTTTCCCCAAGACCCATAGATAAAACAAACACATAACATAGTTCTGAGAAAGAATATTCCTTAAAATTGAACAGTGTTTCTGGCAGGATAGAAATAATAAATAAAAAAATCTCTATGCAATAAGCATTTTAAACATACAAGTAAAATAATATTTTCTAATTAAATTGGTATTATATCATAAAGTTAAAGTCCCCAAATTAACATACTTTTAAACTGAAAAATTAATTTATTCTATACCAGATAAAACCACAAAACAAAACAAACCCATTGCCATTGAGTCAATTCTGACTCACAGCAACCCTACGGGACAGAGCAGAACTGCCCAAAGTTTCCAAGGAGTGGCTGGTGGATTCAAACTGGTGACCTTTTGGTTAGCAGCTGAGCTCTTAACCACTGCACCACCAGGGCCCTGTACCAGATTAGGAGATATTAAAACAGAAGCTATAGAAATACACAAATTCCTTCATAGTAACTAATGGGCCAAGAAATCAAAAAATATGATATGCTAAAATTATCAAATCGTAGTGCTTATCCTGACTTGGATCTCCAACTCTGTCCCTTCCCAGATTGAAGCCCAAAGCCTACAAAAGTTAAGTGATATGCTGAAATCCAAGCAGTTGCTGAGAGAATCATGATTTGAATTTCCATTTTTTATCTCCTACTATGGAACTTTTTAACCTAATTCTTCAAAATTCTACTCCTAATAGTCATTTATCAGTATTGACGAAGTTCTTAATTTCATTTGGGGCCTTCTACAGCAAGTCAAGGAAAACATTTACATCACACAAGATTCTAAATTAGGCTTCATTTTCCACAAAGCAGCTAGTTCTACAATCCCTACTACAATCAGGTAGTAGGTGACATTCTAACTTCAAATTGTTTAGTAATGGATTTAATCTGGAGAGAGAGGCAAACAGCCTAGCTTTATTTGATAGAAAATAACCTTTCAACCGTTTACATCTACAAAGTCCCCGATGAACTCTTTTTACTCTTGTAATGAACTGATTTTTGTAACCAGAAGTCATAATTGCTCATCTGCTTTGAGAAATTCCAAAATTTTCAACTCCCAGAAATAAAGCCCACTTAATTAATTCCATTTTTTATTCTTTTAATATACATGAGATAAAGATATGAGATGAGAATCCCATGAAATGTAAAAGGCTGTCATGAATTACTACTAAACTGATGATGTTCCTAGGGTATATGATGAACTTGGATTCAATTATACATTTTTTGATTCATAGTTTCTGTTTACAAATGTATAGCAAATAAAATGATTCTATAATTTATTAAAACATCAATTAAAATAGCCACATACCCGGAATGCTCTATTCTTCTCTTCTTTCTGCTGTTTCTCCACTTCGACGTGGCGGGCTAGACGAGCCAGCGTTAAGGCAACTTTATCCTGTTGATTTTCAATATAATCTTTATGCTTAACATTCTCCTATAATTAAAAGAACAATTTTCATTCCTTTCAACTAATGAAATTCATTTAGGACAACATATATCTATTTACCAAACAGCTGTACTAAAAAAGTAAATAAAACAAAAAAAAACATTTACTTCTATCATCAATTTTCTGAGAAACTTTTTTGTGTATTTTATATTTTATGTTGTATTTTGTAGCTTAGCCAATTTTCCAACAGCATGTTTGGTTTTCAAAATGTTACATAAACTACCTGCTAAAACATCTATCATCCTTATTCACTTTATAACCATCTGGATATTGAAAAAGTTTTTGGTTGCTTTGCTGAGTCAATAAGATAAGTCAACAGGGTAAGTCACCAAGTCCTGAGTCTATCCTCCAAAAGGTCTATTAGTACAAACACCTTTGGCACTGGTTTTTCACCAATGCTAGGACAGTAAGTATTATGGAGAAACTGTTGATTAAAAAGAATAGAGTCTTCCTGTCTGTTTTAGATTCGGTTACTAACTAAAATATCGCTCCTTAGGCAAATCAGTAATATATGTACAATCCACATTTTATCTAAAGTGGGAAACAGTTACATCAGTCAAGTCAAATAGGAGGAGTGATGTTCTGAAGAAGTAGACAGAAGTTACATAGAAGTTAGTATATATAAAAAGGCCAAATTGGTATTTTCAGCATGCGGCTACACCTTTGCAGTGAATAATGCTCACAGAACCACTTTAGGTGGAAGTAGTCTCACTTTCAGACCACTTGACCAACTTGTGCCACCTACACCAGGTAGTAGGTGACATTCTAACTTCAAAATGCTATTTTACAAGCTATAGCACAATGCAGGAGTCCTATGGCGCAGTGGTTTAAGCATCTGGCTGCTAAACAAAAGGTCAGCAGTTCAAATCCACCAGCCGCTTCTTGGAAACCCTATGGGTCAGTTCTACTCTGTCCTATAGGGTCACTCTGAGTTGGAATCAACTTGACAGCAACAGTTTTTTGTTTTTTTTTAGCACAATGCAGATTATTGGAAAGTCACAAAAATCTATTTATCTGACCTGTGATCCTCTACTAGAGACAAATTTATCTTTCTGTCTTAAAAGAAAATTAAATGTACTCCTTGGGAAGATGAAAAAATAATATTATTTTATTTAAAAGGTAGGCACTTCCTTCAGAATGAGATTTAGAGTAAATCCTAAAAAAAAAAAAGAAAAGAAAACTTAAAGAAGTAAGATTTTAAACATGGAACTAGAACATATTAGCCTTCCTGACAAACAGACATATTTTAGGTTTTAAACTCTAGCAAAAATCAATGCTTGGACGACCAGGTAAACCAACATCATATAAGTACAGGGCGGAGGAGGACAGGTATAAACTTGGGCTTACTTACAGAATTAAAAAAAGAGTAATCAAAAAATGAAATTAAAAACAGAAAAACAGTAAAGAGATCAACAAAACCAGAAGTTGGTTCTTTGAAAAGATCAATAAAATTGACAAACCTTTAGTTAGACTAACAAAGAGAAAAGATGCAAATAACCAAGATAAGAAAGACGAGGCATTACAACTGACCCAACAGAAATAAAGACAATTATGACAGAATATTATGAACAACTATACAGCAACAACCCTGGTGGCGTAGTGATTAAGAGCTACGGCTGCTAACCAAAAGGTTGGCAGTTTGACTGTCCTAAGGGGTCACTATGAGTTGGAATTCACTCGATGGCAACGGGTTTTTTTTTTTTTTTGGTATATGGCAAGAAACTGGATAACCTAGATGAAATGGACAAATTCTTAGCAGAACACGGAAACCCTGGTGGCGTGGTACTTAAGAGCTATGGCTGCTAACTAAAAGGTCGGCAGTTAGAATCCACCAGGCACTCCTTGGAAACTCTGTGGGGCAGTTCTACTCTGCCCTATAGGGTCGCTATGAGTTGGAACCACTAACCTATCCAAACTGACTCAAGAGGAAATAGAAAATCTCAACAGACCCATAACGAGTGAAGAGATTGAATCAGTGATCAAAAACTTCCCAACAACAACAAAAAATCTGGACCAGATTGTTTCCCTGGGGAATTCTACCAAACATTTAGAGAAGCATTGACACTAATCCTATTTAAACTCTTCCAAGAGACAGCGAAAGAAGGAACACTCTCTAATTCAGTATATGAAATAAACATAACCCTGATACCAAAATCAGACAAGACTTCAAAAAAAAAAAAAAAAAATACAGGCCAATATCCCTCATGAATATAGAGACAAAAATTCTCAACAAAATACTAGTGAACAGAATCAAACAGCATATTAAAACAGCCATACACCATGACCAAGTGGGATTTATTCAGGAATGCATGGATATTTCAGCATTAGAAAATCAATCACTGTAATACACCACATCAACAGAACAAAGGAAAAGAACCACACAATCATCTCTATGGATGCAGAAAAAGCATCTGATAAAACTCAACACCCTTTCTTGATGAAAAGTCTCAAGAGGTTTGGAATAGAAGCAAAGTTCTTCAGTATGATTCAGGGCAGATATTGAAAAACAACAGTGAACATTATACTTAATGAAGAAAGACTGAGAGCTTTCCCATTGAAATTGGGAACAAGACAAGGGAACCTGCTCTCACCAGTTCTACTCAACATTGTATTAGAAGTCCTAGCCAGAGTAATATGATAAGAAAAAGAAATAAAACGTATCCAGATTAGAAACGAAGAAATAAAAGTATTTCTATTCCTGGATGGCATGATCCTACTATATAGGGAAAATCCCAAAGAATCCACAAAAAAAGTTTCTAGAGTTAATAGAGGAATCTAGCAAAGTTGCAGGGTACAAGGTCAACAAACAAAAATTAGTTGGGTTTCTATACACCAGCAATGAGAAATCTGAAAGGGAAATTAGGGAAACAATTCCATTTACAACAGCATCTAAGAGAATAAAATACCTAGGAATAAATTTAACCAGGGATGTGTAAACATTACACAATGAAACTTACAAAACACTGTCAAAAGAGATTAAAGAAGAGTTGAATAAATGGAAAGATGTACACATTCATGGATTGGAAAACTTACTACTGTTAAAATGTCAATACTACCCAAAGCAATCTATAGAGTCATTGCAATTCTAATCAAAAATTTCAATAGTCTTCTTTACAGAAATGGAAAAACCAATCTTCAATTTTGTATGGAATGGCAATAGCCCCAAATAGCTAAAGCAATGTTGAAAGAGAAGAACAAAATAAGAGGATTCATACTTCTTGATTTTAAAATATATTATATAGCCACAGTACTCAAAACAGCCTGATACTGGTATAATAACAGACACACAGACCAATGGAATAGAATTACGAGTCCAGAAATAAACCCACACATCTATGGTCAGCTGATTTTTGACAAGGGTGTTAAGTTTATTCAATGGCGAAAGAGGAGTCTCTTCAATAAACGGTGTTGACAAGAATGTATCAATATCACTGAACTGTACATGTAGACACTGTTGACTTGGGTATGTTTTGCTGTGTATATTCTCAACGACAACAAAATAAATAAAATTTTAAAAAATAAAATAAATGGTGCTCGGGAAATTGCATTTCCACAGGAAGTAAAATGAAAATAGAACACATGCCTCACACTATACACAAAAACAAATTCAAAATGGATTAAAGATCTAAATGTGAAAACTAAAACCATAAAATTCTTAGAAGACAATGCAGTCGCAAGGGTGTCAGGACTAGCTTTTAACAATGGATTATCTAATAACAAAAGCACAAACAGCAAAAGACAAAATAAATAAATGAGACCTCTTAAAACTAAAAACTTGTGTTCATCAAAAGACTTTACGACAGAAGTGAAAAGACAAGACACCAACTGGGAGACTATCTTCAGAAACCATATATCCAAGAAGAATCTAATAACCAAAATATATATAAAACTTCAATAACTTAATAACAAAAAAACAAATAACACAATCAAAAAATAGGCAAAGGACTTGAATAGACATTTCACCAAAGATAACATTGAAAGAGCCACCAAACACATTAAAAGATGCTCAATGTCATTAGCCAACAGAGATGAAAATGAAAACCACAATAAGATACCTTTTCACTCCCACTAAGATAGCTAAGATTAAAAATTTAAATTAAAAACCCCCAGAAAACAGCCAATGTTGGTGAAGATGTAGATAAATTAGAACTCTCATCCACTGCTGGTGAGAATGCACAATGGTAGAGCTGTTGTGGAAAACAGTGTGGTGGTTCCTCAAAAAAACTAAAAATAGAACTACAATATGATGTAGCAATTCCACTCCCAGGTATATACCCGGAAGACTTGAAAGCAGAGACACAGATATTTGTACACCAATGTTCACTGCAGCACTATTCACAATAGCCATAAGGTAGAAACAATCTAAATGCTCATCAACAGATGAAAGGACAAACAAAATGTGGTATGTACACAATGGAATATTACTCAGCCAGTAAGAGAAATGAAGTCTTGGTACATGCTACAATGTGGATGGAACTTGAAGACATAATGCTGAGTGAAATAAGTCAATCACAAAAGAACAAATATTACATGATGTCACTTATATAAAAAGAACAGGCAAATGTATAGAAACCAAAGTTTATTAGTGGTTACCAGGGGTGGGAGGGAAGAGGAATGGAGGGGTTATTGCTTATGGAGCACTAGGGTTCAGATTACAGTGATGGAAAAATCACATTGATTAAGGGTAGGGTTACACAGCCAATTAATGTAATTGTTATCAATAAGTTGTACACCTGCAAAAAGTAGAATTGGCAAAAGTTGTGTGATAGATATATTTACAATGCCAAAAAAAGAGTAGCTTATGTAGAGCCTTATGAGACATCACAATTAATTGGCCTAATATCCTGCTTCGTGCTTCTGTTCTACTTCCTAGCTCACTGAGTACTGCCAGAGGTCTTAAAAGCTTGAAAGTGGCCATTCAAGGCACAGCAATTGATTTCTATTCACCTGGAGCAAAAGAGAAAGGAGTCAGGAATAGAAGGAGGATA